AATTAATTAATTTTTTTTTTCAGTATTCATTTCATTAAGAATGCGGATAAATGAATTAAAATTTTTTACTATAAATAAAAGTTGATCGATAATAAACGAAAAAACCATCACATAGGGCCGACGTGTTGTTCGTGAAAATAATAAACAATAATCTATTTATCCAGCAATAATTGTTTAATCAAATGTACAGGCAATAAGAAACTTTAATAATTCACGTATGTAATAATAATTCCAGCACATGCTCGCAACAATTATTTTAAGCATAAAATCATTTTAAAATTATTTATGATATTCTTCCTTTCCCAAATAAAATGTAATATTAAAATGTATTGTTTTAATTTGACAGACAATAATTGCTCAAAACATAGATAATACAGAATTAATATTTTATTTATAATTTAATGTTTAAATTTCGAATAATAGTAGATAACCAGTAAAATTAAAATCTATAAAATGTATAGAAAATTTTATTTTTCATAATATTCACAGTTCGAGTTAATATTCATTCCAAAAATGGCAAATAAGAATGTTTGCCAATTTTTTGAAGATTCAAAGAGTCGAGGTGAAATAGGATTGACAATACGATATATGTACCTTTGCGAAAATTCTAAACGTAACTCAGCGATTCTTAAAAAATACACTCGATCCAGCGCGCGAACTATCAATATCCATACATTCATAAAAATTTGTCGATATACAATTTCCTGAACTCGTTCATACGCGATGAATGATTTTATTTCACTGCCAATTCGATGTTTCAATAACGTAAATTTTCGCTGAATGTGTGTGTGTGTGTGTGTGTCTGGGAGAGAGAGAGAGAGAGAGAGAGAGAGAGAGAGAGAGTGCGTGTATTAGGAGACTTGCACATCCATGCTCAGCTTTTTAGCTTGGCATCGGTCGATGGCCGATCGAGTAAATGAAAATACGTGACCCATTCGTTTTAAGACAATTTTCAAACTACACTAGCGACCCTGCGCAACACCCATACATTGATACCTCATCTACAAACTACCAATCGCATTATTTATTTATTTATTTTACATTGATTTTCACAGGGTTCATTTTAAACGTCTATTGCCAATGTAATATTTAATTTCAATAATTGTTCAACGAATTTGTAATATATATGTATATATATATATATGTAATCTATAAATCTTATTAATATTTAAAGAAACATCGAATAAGTAAGATTAATCTTGGCTCAGTACTACATCAATCATAGTACCTTATATAAGAATTTTTGGATTTCTACACTGACCAGTCACAGCTGAATAATACATCATTCCACGTACTTTCAATAAATATATCTATGAAACTTTAAAGAGTTAAAAAAAAAAAAAAAAAAAAACATTCATTATGTATTATTAAAACGTGTTTTTCTATTCATCTAAAAATACAATATAAATATATATTTATATTTTTTAAAATATTTATCACAAACTTACGTTAAGAATTACAATGAAAAATTTGATAATAGTTATAAGTTAATTATGGAATAAAAACAAATTAATATTTCGCTTTTCATTTAAATTTCATTATAATTACAAGACTATAATAAATAATACGAATCTTAAGAATTAAAATCTTAAGTAATTAAATGTATTATGAAACGTAATTTTGTTTCAATGGAGTAAAAAGATTAATCCATCACAACTGCCGGTGCTGATAATTGGCTTTAAGCAGTTAAGAAGGTCAATGTGCTCATGACGCATCGGCTATACATTTTATTGGATTATTGTCTTATTTTACATTATATTTCTCAAGTTCATTTAAAAAAATTTCTCGAATTTTGTACTTTAATCAAGGAGTGAGATGCTGGCCTTGACATTTAATTAGTAGCGTATTATCAGGGGCAGAAGAGTAATTGTATTTTCCAAAAGATAAACAAGGAGCAGTCTTATAAAATTAATCATTGGTTAATTTAGATAAGTGTAATTGTTAGTATTAAATTTGTTTTGCTTAATATAAATATTAAACGTTAATAGAAACATGATACTTATTTATTATATTTTTTTTTTAGCTTTTATATTTAAAAATTTTGAAAAATTTAATAGAATATTGTATTAGACTACTAGGTGCATTCAAGTTTTTCTCGAAGATCTTCGTTGATGCCGATTGTCATTATAGGTTATAAGTACATGAAATTAGGATATTTAATATCCTTAAAAGACATTAAAATTCATCGTCTATTTTTATATTTATTGCATAATTTATTTGAAATTATTATTTTATATTTTCAAGTTCTTTAATATAAAAGATTTTTAATTAGAATTTTCTGTCTAGAATCTGTCTAGAAGCAAATCTGAGGGTAAAATTAAATGGAAATTAAAAATTATCGATTGCGAGGAATTAACTTTCAGGACTCAAAGTTGTCTGTTGAATTATATATTTATATAATTTTTAATTCCCGAAGCAACTGTCATACGAACTTTTGCTGAAATGGATTGATTATTCATAATGTTACCAAAGAATTAAAAAACATTACGTTTTACCTGGA